TACCTGTTTCTGTTCACTCCCAACCTTGCATATTGTGGGGTGCATCTGGGATTGGCCATTGTTGGAAAACAGGATACTGGGCTAGATGGACCTTAGCTCTGACCCACCCAGTATGGATATTCTTTGTTAACTTTAGAGAGCAATAAATTAACAGTAAAGAATGACTGGAGTCCATCAGTTAAGGCTGGTGAATTAGCTGAAAGAAGGTTGAAAGGAGTAAAGGAACATCTGTCATGCCCACCTCCACCAGATCCAAGATCTTTACTACTAGCTTACAGAATGGGGGAAAAAGGTGGGAAGCTGAGTCTTTTTGAGCTCTTCAAAGAAAAGTTGGTAGCAAGATACAATATACTGAGGTTCCCCAGCACCTTGATGAGCAATCCAATGTAACACACCTGAATGTTTAAAGTTAGAAAGTGTCAGGACCCAGCATAGGAGTGTCTGAGTTCTGCAATTACACAGCTACGCCCCTGGAAAAACTAGTTTTGAGGGATGGGAAGAGTAGGCTTGCTGGATTGACCTTAAAATTCCTAAGAGAAAGTGGAAAAATAGGCCAGTCAGCTGTCCTCTTGTGACAGGATAGTACAGTAAAACTCCATTAGTCCGGCATCCAATGTTCTGGGACTCCTGATGGTCCGGCACCATCAGGAACCTGGAAGTGCCGGGGCAGCCACACAGGCTTCCCCCATTCAGCTGCTGCTGAAACTGACCAGCAGCTGAATCAGGGAAGCCGGGAGCAGAGCAGCTGGGGTGCTGCCGGGTTGGTCCCGCAGCGCCGTTCTTTGGCGCTGCGGGACCAACCCGGCAGGACCCCAGCTGCTCTGCTCCAGGGGGCCCCGATTCAGCCGCTGCTGAAACTGACCAGCAGCTGAATCAGGGAAGCCGGGAGCAGAGCAGCTGGGGTGCTGCCGGGTTGGTCCCGCAGCGCCGTTCTTTGGCGCTGCGGGACCAACCCGGCAGGACCCCAGCTGCTCTGCTCCAGGGGGCCCCGATTCAGCCGCTGCTGAAACTGACCAGCAGCTGAATCAGGGAAGCCGGGAGCAGAGCAGCTGGGGTGCTGCCGGGTTGGTCCCGCAGCGCCGTTCTTTGGCGCTGCGGGACCAACCCGGCAGGACCCCAGCTGCTCTGCTCCAGGGGGCCCCGATTCAGCCGCTGCTGAAACTGACCAGCAGCTGAATCAGGGAAGCCGGGAGCAGAGCAGCTGGGGTGCTGCCGGGTTGGTCCCGCAGCGCCGTTCTTTGGCGCTGCGGGACCAACCCGGCAGGACCCCAGCTGCTCTGCTCCAGGGGGCCCCGATTCAGCCGCTGCTGAAACTGACCAGCAGCGGCTGAATCAGGAACGCCTAGGGCAGAGCTGGACTATCGTAAGGGCTATGAGGGGTCTGGGGTGGCATCCCCTTCCACCCCACTCCAGACCCCTCATATTCCCCCCCTTCTGATAGTCAGCATATCTGATAATCCGGCACCCGCTGGGTCCTAAAGGTGCCGGATTATCGGAAGTTTACTGTACTGTCTCTGTGAGGGAGTCTAGAGTTCTTGGGTTTTTTCTCCTTTTCAGATTCAGCTAGCTATCCTATTTTGGGTTGTCCCATATTGTGGGGTGCATGAGAGTGGGATAGAAATGTAGTGTCAAAGGTCATACCATCATCTTTTTTTCTTCATCAGCAGCTGTCCATGTATCTTTCTCTCCTTACCAGAAAACCAGGAGAAAAAACATCCAAATACACAAGCTTTTGTGAAAATCACTGCAGAGTAGCCCAACAGCAATCCTAAAAGGAAGAGCTAAATTAACTAAACTCTTTTGGAGGACAGATGTAGCAGGTTAATAAATGAGACCCTGAGGGACAGGAAACACTTTGTAAAAATCTAGAAATCTCAGGAAATTTATCCAACAAGTTGTAATTGCATCCCAACACTCCCAGGATATGCCTACTATATATGCATAAAATCTTTTACCACAATTTCTCCAACATTTATCCCCATTCAACCTAAGTGATATGAGGTACCACTGAAACAGTATAAAGACATTTTCTTTTTTTCTGTGCTACAGCCTTCTGGTCCTAATTTCCAGACGAACATCCCAGTTCCCTGGGCTAACTTGTCTATCCAGGTCCTTTTCCCAGAGATAGATATTTGTTACGAAAATTGCCTGCAACGATTGATATAAATTAGCTGGTTTCAGGCCAGAAACTGGCCAATGGGATTGTCCTTGGGTGAGGTGGTTCCTGAAACTTCCCCCTCCCCTCCAGTTTTAAAACAGAAATGGAACCCTGCAGCCATGTGCAAGCAGGGGAGCCTGCCTGGTGCTCCCTGCTGCCTCCACGGGCTGGATTCGGTGGCTTGGATGGCCGCATTTTGCCCAGGCCTGGTGTTAGGACTCCTGCAGTCTTCTATGGTTGCCTTGATTGACAATGTCTAAACTAAGGTCAACTTTACTTCTGAATGTGTCCAGACAGGGATTTAAGATGCCATATCGGGTATGGGGCAATGGCGTCCTTGCTGGAAGAGTTGGCAACCCTTGTAATGTAATGTGTATGCAGTAACCTCACACTTTGAGTCACCCCATATAGACATGCCCTTAATAGGGGAAAAGAATAAGGGAAACAGGGAGGCCTCTGTTAATTCATTGAGTTTAAAATGCAGTAAGTGGTTTCCCATGACAGCCACACAAATGGGGCTGCAGGCATGCAGACATACCTGAGATGGTGAAGCAGTGTTAGCCACATAATATCAGTCGTAAAACTCTGAAGAATAATGGTTTATATAACATGAGTCTGCATTATAGTCTGTGCCTTTAGTGTTAAGAAAATGTGTACTTTTAACATAGGACAGATAATATGCATTAGCTATCCCCATTGGGAAGCAGACTAGAGACAAAAGCTCTATTTCTCAAAAGGCAACTGATTCAACGAGTGCCTCATCATAAAATATCCTTGCTGTTGGTAGTACTGAAAAAGAAACTTGTCAGAATGAGGAACATCAGTAAAAAGTGTCATAAAAAAGTAGCATACGTATAAGGCTATTAAAATATGCAACCGAAGGATCAACAATGCAGTAGAAAAAGTCCATATTTATATAAGCAACAAAAGAAGTAATAGAAATGTGAATTGTTCACTTCAATGGGAGGGATACTGTCAAATGTATAAAGTGGTTATGTCAAAAGAATGAGGGGGGAAAAAAAGCAGAAGCAAAAACCAAGTATATTTATTTTTATATCATGACCTGTGTCTGTAAATCTCATGATTTTTGAACCCCTGGGTACAACATATCTTGCGCAGGGGTGTACACCTATATTTAGTTAAATTTACAGTGGAAATGTGTCTTTCAGAAGAATTTCATATACAGAGGCAGTATGTTCTTTGGGCCAGATTTTTAAAGGTATTAGGTAACTAGTGGGATTTTTGAAAGTTTTGAGGTGCTTTCACCCTTAACGAAAACTGACCTGTAGTGAACTTAGGAACCAAGTTCTCTGTGTAAGTGGCAACATGTGGAATTATACTATGTTGGATAGAGGCAACCCGCCCTCCCCTCCCAAAAAAACCCCACCCTACTTTACAAAGGCAATCCTCAGTCCTAGATCAAAGGAAACTGGAGAAGTTTCGATACCAAACCAAGAAACCAGACAGCCTTGAAGTCATTGGATCCCAAAAAATAAATTTGTGTATTTAAAAAATGAAAAAGGGCCCAATTAAAAACAAATGTTGCAATAAAAACAGGAAGCGCTACACTGCGAAGGCTGCGCGGTCCCGCTGACGTTATTCCACCGATCAGTATTTCCAGGGCTTACTTGCTATTAAAATGCCAGCTAAACAGGCCAGTGCCGCCCATTTGCTCAAGGGGAAGGAAGGGCAATGATGAAGCGCTCCCACACACATAAATAACCTCCCGAAAGATAACCCGCTGGAAGGCGAGAAGGCGCCTGCCCGGGAAGAGAAAGGCAGAGGCCGGGCCAGGCCGTGGGAACAGCCGCTCGGACAAATCGGGGAATCGCGCTGAGCGCTCTGCAGCCCCGACCCGAGCGCGGAGCCTTGTAACCCCTCGGATCGTGTCTGGGGAGGGGACCCCAAGCTCCTTGAGCATCGCGGCACGTGCTGAGGGGGACGCACCCGGCCTTGGCCCGCAGCACGAGACTAGAGCAGGCCCCTTGCCCAGGGAGGGGGGCGGCAAAAAGCCGACAAATCGGGGAATCGCGCTGAGCGCTCTGCAGCCCCGACCCGAGCGCGGAGCCTTGTAACCCCTCGGATCGTGTCTGGGGAGGGGACCCCAAGCTCCTTGAGCATCGCGGCACGTGCTGAGGGGGACGCACCCGGCCTTGGCCCGCAGCACGAGACTAGAGCAGGCCCCTTGCCCAGGGAGGGGGGCGGCAAAAAGCCCCTCCGCCCCCACCCGCACTGTGTCACCGCCACTGCTGAGTCTTGTGCCCCCTGCCCGCCTGGCA